CCAAAGTGCTAGGATTACTGGCATGAACCACCACGCCTGGTCTATTTGTCATATTTTCTATCAGATCTTTGTGCTGAAGCTTTTGGAGAGGTTTCCAATATTTTCCTGTCCCACTCTTCCCAGGGCAAAGGCCAAAATAAAGCATTCCCCGTCTTTCTCTGCATATGTGAGGGAATATTCTAGTAAACACACTAAAACTGCTGCTTTTCAGGGCTCCAGGCTTTACGCACATATCTCTGATCTAACCTCCTCACCTTGCTAGAGTCCTTGGCTTTGTCTTCCATGCATATGATGCCCTCTAAAGCTAGGCTTTAGACCCTGAGGGAATGGCAGATATTCCTAGAACAAGCATTAGTGCTTTTTCTGAATTTGTACTTTCCCTTTTTTCCTAGCCTCTGAAGATAATCATTACTTCTTGATAATTTAATCATACTCATATTTTAAAATATATTATATATATTTCCATATGTATATGTACCTGTGTATCTATATGCCTATAGTCTTTTTCCTGGCTTTTTATTGTATAGCAAGTGTCTCTGGCAGTTGTTAGACACTTAAGTCTATCTATTTGATCTTTAAATTGCTGTAATTGCAAATCTTTTAGCATGGCAAATTAAAAACTAAGACAGAGCATCAATGCCATCTGGTGGAGAGACATACTATTACCAATCTAAATGAGACCCAATGAGTCATGCACGGCCTTCTCATTCTTCCCACAGTTAGTAACCGAGTCCTGTCAAATCTTTAATTATTAGGTCTTTCAGATCTGTCCCTTGATTTCTATTCTCCCAGTACCTTAGTCCAGTTTCTTTCTTCTTCTTATTTTTTCCTAAAATCATTGCTTTTGAACTGGTCTCCTTCTTCCCAATTTTTTTCCCCTCGAAAGAAAACAGGTCTCACTTTGTCATGCAGGCTGGGGTGGAGTGTGCTAATATTAACATCCAATGATACTTCTTGGTGGAATTAATTGTTACTCTGGTGTTGCCAAGTGGAGATTCTTCCCATTTTATTATTATTTCTGTGTTTATTCTGTGGCATTCTACTATAAGGAAAATCTTCTACTAAAGCCTTGGAATCAGACATTTCTCCAAAGATCCTTAGTTTCTTTTAGTGGAGAATGGTTTTTAGAAACTATGATCTGAGCTTCCTGGATTGTCATTGCTTTTAGGCCCCTTTGACAGAAAGAGCTAGGAAATATATATATTAGAAATCATAAGTTTTACTGATATCTCCAGTTCCAGTCCAACTCTGCAGGGTTCTTCCTTGCCTTTCCCTATTTCTTACTTTTATCGTCTTCTACAGTGAAAACCCTGGCACTCCGCATTATCAGTAAATTCACAAAACTGTGAATTTATTTCAAGTGTTAGATATATGGCTGGGCATGGTGGCTTACACCTGTAATCCCAGCACTCAAAGTATGAAGATAAAATGTGAGCTGGACAAGAACTACAAAATAAGCTGAAAGAAATCAGAGATGACATAAACAAATGGAAAAAAACATTCCGACCCCATGAGCTGAAAGAATCAATATCATTAAAATGGCCATACAGCCTAAAGCCATCTACAGATTCAATGCTATTTGTATCAAACTACAAACATCATTTTTCACAGAATTAGAAAAATCTGGCCAGGCACGGTGGCTCACACCTGTAATCCCAGCACTTTGGGAGGCTGAGGTGAGTGGATCACGAGGTCAGGAGTTCAAGACCAGCCTGGCCAAGACAGTGAAACTTCATCTCTACTAAAAATACAAAATGAGCTGGGCATTGTGGGGGGCGCCTGTAATCCCAGCTACCTGGCAGGCAGAGGCAGGAGAATTGCTTGAATTCAGGAGGCGGAGGTCGCAGTTAGCCGAGATCATGCCACTGCACTCAGAGCCTGCGCAACAGAGCAAGGCTCCATCTTAAAAAAAAAAAAAGAAAGAAAGAAAGAAAGAAAAATCCATTCTAAAATTCACAAGGAACCAAAAAAGCAATCCTAAGCAAAAATAACAAAGCTGAGGCATCACACTATCTGACTTAAACTATAAGGAGGCTACAGTAACCAAAACAACATGGTACAGATACAAAAACAGACACATAGACCAACAGAGCGTAATAGACAAAAATAAAAACACACACCTACAGCCATTTGACCTTTGGCAAAGTTAACAAAAAAAAGCAACAGAGAAAGGATTCCCTAATTCAATAAATAGTGCTGGAATAGCTGTCCAGCCATATGCAGAAGAATCAAACTGGACCCCTATCTTTCAGCATATACAAAAATTACCTTAAAACAGATTAAAGATTTAAATGTAAGGGGCTAGGTGCAGTGGCTCATACCTGTAATCCTAGCACTTTGGGAAACTGAGGCAGGTGGATCACTTGAGGCTAGGAGTTTGAGACCAACCTGGCTAACATGATGAAACCCCGTCTCTACTAAAAATACAAAAATTAGCCAGGTGTGGTGGTGTGTGCCTGAAATCCCAGCTACTCAGGAGGCTGAGGCATGAGAATCGCTTGAGCCCAGGAGATGGAGGTTGTGGTGAGCCAATAATGCACCACTATACTCCAGCTTGGGTAACAGGGAAGATGCTGTCTTAAAAAAAAAAAAAAAGGGATTTAAATGTAAGACTTCAAACTGTAAGAGTCCTAGAAGAAAACATAGGAAACAACATCTGGACATCAGCTACGGGAAAGAATTTATGGCTAAGTCCTCAAAAGCAATTGCAACAAAAAACAAAAATTGACAAGTGGAACCTAATTAAACTAGAGCTTCTACATAGCAAAAGGAGCTATCAATACAGTAAACAGAAAACTTACAGAATGGGAGAAAATATTCACAAACTATGCATTTGAAAAAGGTCTAATGTCAGAAGCTATAAGCAACTAAAACAATTCAGAAAACAAAAACCAAATAACTCATGGCCAGGTGCGGTGGTGGCTCACACTTCTATTCCCAGAACTCTGGAAGGCCGAGCTGGTTGGATCACCTAGGGTCAGGAATTTGAGACCAGTCTGGCCAACCTCGTGAAACCCAGTCTCTATTCAAAGTACAAAAATTAGCCACGAATGGTGGCGGGTACCTGTAATCCCAGCTACTCAGGAGGCTGGGGCAGGAGAACTGCTTGAACCTGGGAGGTGGAGGGTGCAGTGAGTCGAGATGGTGCCATCGCACTCTAGCCTGGGCAACAAGAGGGAAACTCCACCTCAAAAAAAAAAAAAAAAAACCATAAAAAACAAAACACAGAAACAACCATTAAAAAGTGCCAAAAGACATTAACAGACACTTCTCAAAAGAAGACATACAAGTGACTAACATGAAAAAATGTTCAACATCATTGAATCAGATAAATGAAAATCAAAACCACAATGAGTTACCATCTCACATCAGTCAGAATGGCTATTATCAAAAAGTCAAAAAAATAACAGACGCTAGTGAGGCTGTGGAAAACAGGGAATGCTTTTACATTGCAGAAGCTAGTGCAATGTAGAAAGTGCCTACACTGATGGAAATGCGAATTAGTTCAGCCACTCTGAAAGCGGTTTGGAGATTTCTCAAAGAAGTCAAGCAATCCCACGACTGGGTGTACATACAATTGAAAATAAATTGTTCTACCAAAAAGACACACACACTCACACGTTCATCACAGCACTATTCACAATAGCAAAGACATACAATCAACCTAGATGCCCATCAATGGTGGACTGGATAAAGAAAATGTACATCCTACACAGCCATAAAAAAGAATAAAATCATGTCCTTTGCAGCAACACGGATGCAGCTGGAGGTCATTATTGTCAGGAACAGAAAACCGAAGACCACATGTTCTCACTTATCAGGGGGAACTAGGCAATGGGTACACATGGACATAAAGATAAGAACGACACTTGGCACTTCTGGAGGGAAGAGGGGAGAGAAAGGGTGAAAAACTACCTGTTGGCACTATGCTCACTACCTGGGTGACAAGATCATTCGTACCCCAAACCTCAGCTCACAAAACGTAACCATACAAATAAGCAGCACGTGTGCCGCCTATGTCTAAAATAAACGTTGAAATTATTAAAAAGAAAAAAAAGAAATGTGAGTTAGGCAAGTCCAGATTCCAGTTGATCCCTGAGAAATGTACTTTTCTCAAAGTCAATGAATCCAATATTTAATGGATCTGGGATACTCTAACCAGGTCCTGTTAGGCGTTCCCTGTGCTCTCATTTTAATTAAAAACCTCAAACTGATCAAGCATGAGAGGATACTTCCTGCTCTCAGAGACATTATTTCTATTGTACATTATCCTTTTTTTTCCTGGATATGAATAAATTCATATCCAGTAATTTTTCTGGATATGAATAAATAACCGCGTATCTCAGAAAAAATTTTGAAAAACCTTATAAAATTAAAACCTTAAATACTTTTCATCAAAATTTTATGACCAACAAAAATGTCATTCATGTATATTATCACACTATCTATTCTACACATTTTATAGTGATATGTATTTATACATACTGCAGTTGGGAAATAGGGAATACTTTTTTGGTCTTCCATGGTAGGCTGCAGGTTTTAAAAGCAGAAGTCCTGAACCTCTGAAGGTAACATAGGAAAAATATTCATTTGAAATCTGTATTATAATAAGAAAAAAAAAAAAAAGAGGCCAAGTGCTGTGGCTCACACGTATCCCAACATTTTGGAAGGCTGAGGCGAGAGGATTGCTTGAGATCAAGAGTTCAAGAACAGCTTGGGCAACATAGTGAGTCCCTGTCTCTACTAAAAATAAAACTAGCTGAGCACAGTGGCACACACTTGTAGTCCCCAGCTACTTAGGAGGCTGAGGTGGGAGAATTGCTTGAACCCAGCAGAGGGAGGCTGCAGAGAGCTTGATCATACTTCTGCACAGCAGCCTAGGCAGCAAAGTGAGATCCTGTATCAAAAAAAAAAAAAATTTTTTTTAAAGGGAGAGTCAAGATGTTTATTTATTTCTTTTAGGGTACAAGGCAGGAGGTAAAACAAAGTCTGGGTTTTGCTTCAAAGAGCTTTTCTCAAAGAGTAGGGACTTTTTTCATTACATGCAACATAGACAAACACCTGTTTTTATGACAATTTGAATTCAAGTAATATGTTTTTCTAAAATTCCGTGTATTTATTTGGACATATGGATGCTCTTTATGTTTTTGTTCACATATTAAAAGGAACTAGCACTTTGGCTGCAAGAACAAATAAGAAACATAAATCCAACTTGTTTTTTTTTAATTTGGGTCTAGGCTAATAACTAAAGAACCATACAGCAAAGAACTGCTTAAAACATTTATATATCCTACGAAACTGCAATTAGTTAAGAGACTACTTATTGTAAGAACTATGATACTAGTAAGGGACTGAGGAAGAACTGTTAACACTGCATGCCAAATTCAGAGCAAAATGTCTATTATCTCCGTCTCACTTTTGCAGTATCTATAAATAAAGTAGAGGGAGGGGATAAGAATTATATGAGTAATGTTAAATAAAAGTGCATACAGAACTGAGAAATGTTTTTCATGGAATCTGCCACTTAGTTCAATAAAATGCTCATAAGGAAAATAATCACTTAAGGCAAAAGACTAGTTATACTGTTGCTGTTCAGAACTTGAGAGCAAAACGAATACCAATCAAATTCTCTGGTGTAAACTTAATTGTCTTAAAACATGTTATTCTGTAAGTTTACATCCATGCCTTAAAAATTCAAGGCAGAAAGTAAAATCATTTAGAAAGTCAGAAATTCCATCAATACATCTAGACAGATGTTTGCTTGTAGTTTTTGGTATCCAAAACCTTTTTTCCACACATCGCACAGATGCCTGAAACAAAAGAAGATATGTAATCAATCAAATCATAATGCCAACTGTTTGGTTTAAGTCAATCCTGAAGCTTAAAACATAATTTAACAGCATCAGAAAAGAAAAAAAAACCCATATATATATATATATATATATGGGTTTTTTTTATATATATATATACACATATACTTTTGACTATAAACAGGTTTTGGGTTCTATTTTGCCTTAGGATAAAGAGAGTGGTGTTTGGCTAACAGAATTTATGGCAGGCTACATCTTTTCTGTTATCCAAATCAGCAGCAAATGAAGTAGGTTTTATGAATAGAAAAATGATATTAAAAGAAACTTACCTTTTTTGTAGGCACAGCCCTGGCAGTAATGAGAACCTGGTTGGTGCACAGAACTTTTACAAATTCTACAAGTGGAGAACTTATTCTTTCCATAGGGATCAAATCTAAAAATTTGTTTTTAAAGAGAGAGAATTGTATATTACACTAGAAACACTTAAATAACCCCACTTACTCAACACACAGGATTAATCCATGCTCTCCATCCCTCCATCAACCTCTACAATTGATGGGTATAGCCTGTTTCAAATGGCTACTGTCTGATATGCCTGTACATCTCCGCTCTGCTGCATCCATGTGAGATGTATAAAGAGTCAATTGTACAGGATTTATTCCCAACCTGTTCATGTCCATTCTATCTGTCATTCTATTTGTGTGACATAAAAATCATGGAAACTGATGAAATGTCAGAGCAAAAGGGTGACTGATTCCATAAAATCTAAGTGACTACTTTAGGATGAGTAGGAATCATTAGAATTGCTATTGAATTAGGTATGGGTAAAACAACTGTTGAAAAAAATTGGGGGAAAGTCACTAGGAAAGGAACTCCACACTTCAAGCATCAGTTTTTGCTCTACTTTAAAGATACTGAACATATTCTTGTTGTGATTTTTTTAGACGACAATCATGTAGAGCACTTATCAGTAGGTGCTTATCAAAAGGCTTTGTTTCAATACCAAATAATTAATACATCTACAGTTATGTACTTTAATGTAAAATAAAAAAAGGTATGTGTAGCTTTTAATGACTGCCTATATTAGCCGACATTTTTAATTAACCGACTCAATCCTTTTGGATAAAAGGACTTCTACTATATAAAAATGCCATCTTACAGTGACTGGAATGAAAAAAAGAAATAGTTCCCCCTAAAATGGCAATATTACTCTGATTTAAATGTGCTTCCCTAATCACAAAATGAGTTTTTGTAATGATCCTCACATACTAGATAATAAACACTGTCCTAGACCTGGTGTCTTCTCTTGCACAACAGCAGCCCATTTACAAAGGTTAATTTTTCCAAACCACAAAGAATATCACTTTACTCCCCACAAGAGAGGACAGGTACTCTTCTTCCTTTCAGTAAATTCAATTTGTTTGGACAAGTATTTCTAGAGGTTATTTTTTCTTAAAATAATATTATCCAAAGATACACATTTTAACCTTGGAAATCTTAAAACTGGCAGAGTTTTTTCCTAAAGTAACAATGCATCTTATAAATAACGGTACCATAGATTCAAAGCAATACTGTAGTACATTTTCCAAAGTAAGAGAGCACCCAAGAGTAACAGCTACTTTTTAATGGTATCAGAGTAACTTTGAGAGCATAAAGGAACTGGAAGTATATAAAACCATAAAATCTATACAAATATTAGCTCAGTCAATAAAATTGAATGGTCCTCCAAGATATCAGTAAGTCAACAACATATAGTGTGATTCTGCATTAAAGATCCTATTATGTGCCCAGCACTGTATATAGTTAAGGCTTTATTGCTGTTATTTCTAATCCTCAGGATGACATCATAAAACAGGTACTCATTCATTCAGCAAATATATACTGAGTGCTTACTATGTACCAATTACTGTTCTAAATACCAAAGATCAACATGATAGACAAAGCCCTTGCCCTCATCAGATGGCATTCTAGAAAGAAGAGGTAAACAATAAGGATACAGACAATCTAATAAAACAAGCAAGCTTTTCAAATAGTAGCATTATAGAGACAATTCTAACAGGATATGAAGGCAGAGATGAGGAAAAGGAATGAAGAGATTAGTTTAGAGGCTGACTAGGGAAACTTCTCTGAGAAGTGACCCTTCAGCTGAGACGCAAACACCAAGAAGGAGCCAGATTCGTAAGCTCTCAGTGAAGACTTCTAGGAGACAGCAGCAAGGACAAATCTCTTTGGATAGGAGGGGGCTTGGCAGAACTAATGAGGATGGCATATGCTGAATGAGGAGGAGTATGGTACAATATGAAGTCAGAGGGGGAGATGCAGTGAGGAGGAATAAGGTAAAACCAGCAGGTTATAACAGATAGCCTGGTTCTGAGTGCCAGGAACCACCTAACTCTATGTTTTATTACAAATGGAATGATGCAAATCAAATTCACTCCAGTAGGCTTAATATTAAAAAGTGAAAAATTTATACTGCTTGTCTATGGATCCTCTTACCCACCTTGCTTTTTTTGAAGTCAAAGCTTTATTTTCATTCAGCTTTCTTCCACCACTTTCTGTATCAAAATAAAAGTTATTTTAGTGGGTTATTCCTATACATTTAACATATAATATTAAGAAGTTCGTTCTCTGACTTTCTGTTAAACTAGTAGCCTATATCTAATTTTTAACAGTCAGGTTATTAAGACACTGCTTAAAAAGAAAACATTTATTAGAGAAACAATCAAAATTTGTATAAAATACAATAATTTTATTTCTCAGACTCAAGATAGTACTTTAGGAATGGGTCTATATTTACTTTATATAGTATAAAACCTAGAACCCACTACTTCAGTGTCATAGACCTTGAATATAATGAAAATGTTTCTTTTCTTTCCCTTATAAAACATATTTTATGTATTTAATGATAATGAAGGTAAATACTTCACTGTAAGTAATTAATGATAATGAAGGTAAAATGGGTTAAAGGATTTATTCAAGAATATAAAAACCAGAAGATTTTAAAAAATTTCTCCTCAGAAGAGTGGAGAAATTAAATGCACTCTCTAAATAAGCTGAATCAAATCAAATATTATGATACTGTCACCACTTGACAATCATTTAATAATTTCGCTATCTCCTGATATTAGGAACCTGTACAAGTAACTGAGAACTAAGTAGAAGATATTAAATAACTTGGGGACCCAGTATTCGTTCATGTTCAATAGATACAATACTTTCAACACATTTCATTTTACAAATAACATAAAAGATAAAATATTCACACGAGTATCTGGTTAAATACCTATTTTCTAAAAGAAGAAATACCTGTGGTATTCCTAGCACCATCTTTCCACGTGTCTGGAGTGATAACAGTACCAAGTTTCTTTTCACCTGTTAGAACAAGATAATAAAAAGCAAATTAAAATTTACTATTTCATAAGTGCATTACATTGTGCCTAAGGTTCACAATGGTATCAACAGTCCTATTACTTTAGGAGCCTGTTAATGCTGCGAGAGCAGTCCGTGAACTGAGACTTGTATTAACTGTGGACAATGAATGACTGATCCACAGTAAAATCCGTAGGATAGTAAGATGGCTTATAATAAGCTTTCTCTGTTTGTTTATACTTTAAACAAATCTGGTAAGTCTATTTGTTCCATATATATTTACTAAGCATCTATGATGTATAAACGATACAAAGTGCTGAAAAAATAAAGTGATGAATCAGACGAAATTTTAAAGAGATTATGGTACACCAATTTCTTTAACAGCAATCTTTAATCTGTGTTCCACAGGTCGATCTTAAGAGATATGTGAACAAGGCAGAGTTGTACACAAACCTTTTATATGCCCCCCCCTTTTTTTTTTTTTTTACTGGTAAGAGTCTACAGCTTTCTTCGGATTCTCAGAGAGAACCTGAGGATCATTCAACCAAAAAAGACTCATTCAACCAAAATATAAGCTAAAAAATAAACGGAATAATAATTGAGAGCTAAAGTACTAGGAGAAATTCCACGCAGGAAGAAATAACCCTGGGCTAAGGAAATCCAAGAAAGTTTGGGGAGAAGGCAAGAGAGAGGATTCGAATATGTGACGATAGGACTGTGAACAAAAAGGAGTAAAGAGAATAAAGGCAGACTCGATAAAAGACACATTCTGAGGAAAGGCATGGAAAGCTCACAGAGTAGTTTTGTTTGGTCAAAGTGTGAAGAGGGTAAGGGTCAGTGAAGATGAAGCTGGAAAAGTAAGTTGGGGCCTTATTGTGGAGGGTCCTGAACGCCAGGCTCCAAATACAGAATCCCCACATTATTCTCTGCACACTGAGAATTTATTAAAGGTGTTAAATTAGGGAAATAGTAACTTGCACTTACGTTGATGTTCAATTCAAACATCTTCTGGGCTTACTCTAAGCCATATTCTGGCATAATGACTAACGAGAATGAATAAGACGAGGTCCTTGGTCTTTGATTCTAGCGTCTAGCATTTGGCAGGAGTACAATACTTGTTACATGAATAAAAAGGAAAGGTCAGGAATTTCAAGAGGGAAAGGTGTCGTCGGGGTTTAATTGAACATTTTTATACGGGAGGGGGCCTGATGAGATCTGTGGCTGGGGGAAGGCAATGGAAATAGACAAAGAGATGCAGAACTAAGACCATTCTGAATACAAAATATACAATAGGACTATATGGTCTTTGGGGTGGTGCAAAATGGTCAAAGGGTAGAGCAGAAGGACAGCGACTAGAATCAAAGATGTGGGCGAAGAAAAAACAAAAGAGAAGGCAAAGTTCCCGGGAGAGTTCATTTAGGTTCTCCCAGTCTCTTCCTCCCACAGGAGGGGCCCCTTAACTCACATTTTTCGCAGACCATCCTCCCCCACGATGGTTCCCCTAGCCGCAACTGCAGCAGCAGCAGCGACAGCGGCCTGAAAACAGCAAAACTAAAACCGGGAAGGCTTCCCCTTCCGGGCTACGTCAACCCACTTCCGGCTTCTAAGCACGCCGCTGCCGTCTAGCCCAAACTCGGAAAGCCGCGGGAGGAAAGAACGGGAGCGTCAAGGCGGGGCTGCCCCATTTGCCCGCCCCTCTCTTTCTGCTACTGGCTGTGCGGCCGTGGGTCTCCGCCCCTTAACCCTGCGCTTGCGCGTGGGCCGGGGTAGCGCGTTGTACCTGATGGTAGGAGGCAGTAGTTTCCCGCTTCCCTTCCGCGGGCGGGCGAGTTAGGTAAGCCCCAAGGTACGCCCCCGGCGCTCTCGCCTCCCGGGATGCAAGCCACCCCCGCGAACTGCCGTAGCAGCCGTGAGCCTTGGCGTCCCGGCCCGCCCGCGCTCGCCTTCCGCTCGAGCGCCACTCTTCCGGCGTGCCCCACGGACAGACCCCCTTTCGGATCCGAGTTTCTGCCTCTGTCCCCCAGTTTTCCCTTGTCTCCAACTCCCGTGTTCTTTGATCCTGCCTCTCAGCTGGTTCCTCGTTGCCCACGCTCGCGCCGGCCTAGGCTTGGGCAGAATCCCGAGCGACCCAGATTGGGGTGGGGTTGCCAGTGAAGGTGCGGCGATGCCCGCGAGGGCTCCTCTGGGGGCTCGGAAGCGCCTTCTCTGCTGCGGTGCCTGGCGAGGTGGGCCGGGACATGCCCATGGCACCCCTGTAGGCGTCCTGGGGGTACGCCAGGGCCTAATACGGTGCCGGTTTCCCTGGAGAGTTAGTTTCCCACTTTACCTACTCTGGTTCTTTCATTCGTTCAGCAAACATTTGAGTTGGGTTCTTGCTCACTGTATTACATTCAGCATCTGCTGTTGGCAGCTGCGATTCCGGGGGTGGCTCAGAAAAATGGATGAAGGGTCTGTTGCGAGGATGGGTTCCTGATGACTGCCCTCCCTCAATCAGCTTAAGATATGGCAAACTTTCTCTTTGTCCCTTCTTGCCATCCGTTTCCTTCTCCATCCCTGTATTTCGTTAATACCAGAGAGAGGGCTGTAGCTCTTGGGACCTTGGGCCTTCTCACCTGTTTGTCCTGTTACCTTATCAGTAAAGTATCTGCTTTTGAAAAGCATTGGGTGAATTAAGTGAGAGCTATTATAGGGCCCAGGTGTTTTGAAACAAATAAATTGCCTATAGGAAATTGACTTTATGACTTATTTGTAGGGGGTGAAACATTTTGGACAATGGAAAAAGTCGTTAATGCATATGCTCTTCTTGTTTTTCATTAGCTAGCCACCCAGGAAAACACCATGAAAGATACCGATATCAGAAGACTACTGTATACCCACCTTTTATGCATATTCTCAATTATCCTAAGTGTCTTCATTCCATCACTCTGCTTGGAGAACTTCTCAATATTGGAAACACACTTGACATGGTTGTGCACCTGTTCTGGTTTTGTAATTGCTGTCAATCTAGTACTATATTTAGTAGTGAAACCAAATGCATCCTCCAAAAGAAGTTCATTATCACACAAGGTAAGGCCTATTTCTAGATAAATGATTTTTTGATGGAGCTAGTGTTTCTTTTAATAAAAGAATAAAGTATTCGTCAAATCTTCATTAGGTTATTTATGGTGAGTAAAGGGAACCTGATTTTTCCCGCCCCCAGAATTGGTAGCCTGTTACTTGCTAGAAGGCTGCCCACAATGTTTGATTAATCCTTGCCTTGCATTAATTGTGGAATTATGACTTCTTCAGTGCATATTGTAATATTATGAGCCTGATTAATCATTGTTTTATGTCACCATTGAAAATAAATACACATGACAGTCTTATCTTTAAACCTTATTCAATAAGACACTGCAGTTTATTTATTTTTGCAGTTCTGAAAGCCACTTAATGGGTTTTTCAGAAATTGCAATATAAGCCTGTGGTATTGCTTGTTTCCCACATGGCCTTCCTTGACTAAACAGTTTTCAGATATTAGAATGAATTTTCCAGAATATTCACTGCAGTAGATATTCACTTGGCTATTACTAATAAAGTCCACACTTAACATTATTTTCTACTGTGTGTTAGCTCTGTTAGGTCATTTACTGCCTATGATTGGAAAAGCTGAATGTATGTGTTATGTTCCTATATTCTTAAGCTCCAAATCAAGAAGGTCTCACGTTTAGTTGTAGATGTTCAGGTCTTTTTTCATATAGGTCAGGTAATATGAGTGTGATTTCGAGAATTATTTAGTCTTGCTTTTTTAGTGCAGTTTTCCCAGGAATTTTGTTTTAAAATGAAAAAATTGTTATTTTCTGCAGATATTTCCTTTATCGTTGCATAGTACTGTATTTTTTGTATCCTAGCTCTCTGATATCAGTCAACATTTAACAACAGGTCCATACATTAACATGGAAACAGAACCTTTTTTTGACTCATGTAGACTCATGATGGGTGGAATATTGCGGGGGGTTGATATTTGCCTTTTAGACTTTTTAGTCTGTGTTGAGGGCTGTGTATGTGACTGAGTACAGGACATGTGACCTGACTTGAATATACTCAAGAATATTCGAACTGTTTTACGCATTATTGCAACAAGTTGTGTTTGTAGATAAAATGGAATAATTTATTGTCCTTTAGGAATTATCTTGAGTCTTCAGGTTATTCATTTCTCTTTTAGGTAACCAGATTTTTGAAGTGCTGTACCTACTTTCTTATGTCTTGTTTCTCCTTTCATGTAATTTTTGTTCTATATGGAGCACCACTAATAGAGTAAGTTTGAAATTTTTACCTTAAATTTATATTTTAAAACATTCATTTACCAAACTGTATGCTAATTCTTAGCAACTAAAGAAAATCCATGATGTGTATCATTAAGGGATCAAGTAAGGACACCAACATCATTAGCAATGTTATTCTTTTTAAAGACAGCAGAATACCTTAATTTATTTGGTACTCGTTACCTAGCTTTCTATTATCCATGTTGGGAGAAGGGAGAGTAGATGAGAAACTATATTGTACCAATAATATTTGGCCCTTAGAACCTCTGAGAGAACTTACTATGATCATATGTGTAAGTTAGTTATAATTAGCATATCAAGTTCTTATAAATGTGATTCTGAAGTACTTGAATGGCGTTTTTCTTAACAAAAGTCAATAGATTCCTGTATTCAAATACCTAATAAGCCAGTGTTTAAAGGTAAAAGTTAACGCTTTTTCTGAACTGACTAATTTTAAATTAGTAGAAACCAAATTCATGTTTCTTACATAATGTTTATCATAGTTTGAGAAGCTTCAGTTTAGCAGTGATTAATAAATAATCATGGTGAAATCAGTGAAGAGATATATATACATATATACACATATACGTGTTGCTAAGTATACCGTTTTATATATATATACACACACACACGCACACACGCATAGTTTTATATATATACACTAAACTAACAGGTTTTTGTTTTTCAGATGGGAGGGAACAAGACCTTTGTAATGGAAAAGGGTGGTTTCTGTCTAATCCATTTTAAAGTAGAATGAATGTATCTGGCACAGTAGTTCTCAAAATGTGGTTTTCAAGCTAGCAGCATCAGCATTTTATCAAAATGCAAATATTCAAGCTTCAATCAGAAACTCTAGGGGTAGACTCCCTCCATCTTTAGTTTATCCAGCTCTCCAGGTGGTTCCAATATATGTTAATATTGAACCACTAGTTGTAGAGAAAGTTCCAGAGACTATTGAGGAGAAAGCTAACTGTCTAGAAATGGATTTTGTTTCTTTTTGCAATGGAAGTCTCAGCATGGATCCTAGGGTCTTGAACACTTCTGAAATCTATGATTAAAGCCAAACATTTGCTAGATTGTTTTTTAAAGCTGCATGTTGGTAGTAAAATTATTTATAGTCATCATTTTGGTGGCACTCATGTTACATTTCAAAGGTAGAGCATAAGAAGAGATTTTACATTTTATTTATGTAATAAAGATTATGTATGTGTATGTTTACCGTTAACACTTAAAAAATTAACACATCTTTTTTTTTTTCTAGGTTGGCATTGGAAACATTTTTATTTGCAGTTATTTTGTCTACTTTTACTACTGTACCTTGCTTATGTTTGTTAGGACCAAACCTCAAAGCATGGCTAAGAGTTTTCAGTAGAAATGGGTAAGTTTTAATTTTATATTATAATGATATTTGAAATTTTAAAAAAATTAATGAAGTATTTTTCTATTCATGTCAGTTTGCTGATTATTCTCAGTGTTTCTCAGTGCTGATGGTGCTCAGACATGCCTTAAGGGGTCACTGCAGTTGGACTGGGGACAGGGCAGGCCCTCCCTCCAGGTTAACAAGATCTGCTCTGCTTTTTTCTGTATAGTAGAATTGCACTTAGCCTTTTGTTTGTTTTTTTTGTTAAAAAAAAAAAAGGAAATTTAAAAAATTTCTGCTACCAAAAGAAAGCTTTGAAAACCATGGTTCTGGGATAATTTGGCACTGTGATAAAATTGCTATGAATAAAATTTCTTACATTTTATAATGTAGAAGTGGGGTCCACAATCTAAAAATGTGTTGTGTAACAATGATAATTTCTTGTTTAGCCTTTTTCGTGGTAAGAGAGAGCAAGTTTTATGGGATTTCATTTCCTTGGTGTCTGTATATGTTTTCAGCATGGTTAAGTTAAAACTTAAACGTCTTGAAAGTCATTAAAATGATATGCACCAGAAACAGTGGCGATCTAGCTAAGAAAGCCAGGTTATCTGATTCTGTCCTATTTATCACCCAGCAGCAAAAACTTCTTCAGCGCTTACTCTGTGCTCTGTGTTACGCTAAGCTATGTGGATTCTGAAGTATAAGGAGGATTCTTTTGCTGAGGAGCTTAGGTGTTCAGGGACAAAAATGAAATGAGCAAATAATATAAGATTACAATTGTGTAAATTCAGCAATAAGTGCTGTAGGAACTCAGAGGTGAGAGAATTGCGTGAACCCGCGAGGCAGAGGTTGCAGTAAGCCGAGATCACACCACTGTACTCCAGCCTGGGTAACGTAGTGAGACTGTGTCTCAAAAAGGAAAAAAAGGAATTAGTACTGTTTGTTCTCTCTTGGAAAGATCTTCTAATATTCATAAAGTCTGTAGAAAACAAAAGTTTAACAACTGAAAGCATTTTCTACATTGTTACCATAATATCCCAAATGGAAATTAATTTCTTTTAAACTTTTAGTTTGAAATTTTTCAACAGTGAAATTAGATCGAAATCATATTAGTTTAGATTAGTGATTTCTCGAGCTTTCAATTCTACATCTAATGGTGTATTTGAGGGATACTGTCATGTGATTTTACAATTACTTCTATTATAATGTGGCATGTATATTCCTAAAGATCACTACACTGTACAAAAGGGCAATGAAAACCACAGAGCTTATGGGAAAGATGGGGTTAGAGCATAACACTGAAACAATTCATTAGTGACAGGTAAAGAGAAGATGGGAACTTAATAAAAATGGTAGCACAGTTTTACACATGTTAAATGTTAAGAAATAACAGGCATACCTCATTTTATTGCTTCTCATTTTATTGTACTGCTCAGATATTGCTCAGATAGTGTTTTTTATGAATCGAAGGTTTGTGGCAACCCTGCATCAAGCAAATCTGTCATTTTTCCAATAGCATGTGTTCTCTTCGTTGGAAACTCTCACAATAGTTCAAGCTTTTTCATTATTATTATATCTATTATGGTGATCTGTTATCTTTACTGTTACTTACTATAATTGTTTTGGGGCACCATGGATCATGCCCATATAAGATGGTGATCTTGATCAATAAATGTAAATGTTGTATGTGTTCTGACTGCTCCACCTACTGACATTCTCTCACACTCTCTTTCTTCTCTCTCTCTCTCTCTCTCTCTCTCTCTCTCTCTCTGGTCTCCCTGAGATACAAAAATATCAAATTTAGGCCAGTTAATAACCCTACTATGGCCCCTTAAGTGTTCAAGTGAAAGGAAAAAGTATGTCTCTCACTTGAAATCAAAAACTAGAATTGATTAAGCTTAGTGAAGAGATTAGGCTTTCAAAAACTGAGATAGACTAAAAGTGAAGCCCCTGTGCCAAATAGTCAAGTTATGAATGCAAAGGAAAAGTTCTTAAAGGAAATTTAAAGTCTACTCCAGTGAACACATGAGTGACAAGAAAGTGGAACAGCCTTATTGCTTATGGGGAGAAAGTTTTAGTGGTCCAGACAGAAGATCAAACCAGGTACTACATTCTAAGCCAAATCCTAATCCAGAGTAGGGCTCTAACTCTCTCCAATTCTCTGAAGGCTGAGAGAGGTAAGAAAGTTACAGAAAAGCTTGAAGCTAGCAGTGGTTGATTCATGAGGTTTAAGGAAAGAAGCCATCTTCATCACATAAAAATGCAAGGTGAAACAACAAGTGCTGAAGTAGAAGCTGCAGTAAGTTGTCTAGAAGATCAAGCTAAGACCATTGGCGAAGGTGGCTAAACAACAGATTTTTAATGTAGACAAAACAGCCTTCTATTGAAAGAAGATGCCATCTAGGACTTTTATAGTTAGGAGAAATCAGTGGCCAGCTTTAATGCTTGACAGGCTGACCTTCTTGTTAGGGACTTGTGCAGCTAGAGACTTTTAAGTTGAAAACGCTAATTTGCCATTTTGTAAATGGTAAGAATTTACACATTTAGAGTTATGCTAAATCTACTTTGCCTATATACTGTTAATGGAACAACAAAGTCTGGATGACAGCACATCTGTTTATAACATGGTTTACTGAATATTTTAAGCTTGCTGTTGAGACCTACTGCTCAGAAAAAAAATAAAAAAACAACCTTTCAAAATATTGCTGCTTATTGACAATGTACCTCATCACCCAAGAGCTCTGATGTACAAGGATATTTATGGGTTTTTTTTTTATGACTACAACACAAGATCCATTCTGCAGCCCATGGGTCAAGGAGTAATTTTGATTTTTCAAGTCTTATTATTCAAGAAACACATTTGGTAAGGCTATAGCTGCCATAGATAGTGATTCCTCTGATGGATTTGGGAAAAGTAAATTGAAAACCTTCTGAAAAGGATTCACCATTCTAGATGTATGCCATTAAGGACATGTGTGATTCATGGGAGGAGATCATAATATCAACATTAACGAGAAGCTGATTCCAGTCCTTGTGAATGACGTTGAGAGGTTCAGGACTTCAGTGGAGGAAACCACTGCAGATGTGGTGGAAATAACCAGAGAACTAGAATTAGAACTGGAGCCTGAAGATGTGACTGAATTGCTGCAACATTATGATAAAACTTTAACAGATGAGGAATTACTTCTTTTGGATGAGAGATAAAATGGTCTTCTGAGATGGAATCTACTGAAGATACCATGAATATTGTTGAAATGATAACAAAGGATTTAAGATGTTACATAAACTTAGTTAATAAAGCAAAGCAATGGCAGGGTTTGAGAGAGTTGACTCCAGTTTTGAAAGAAGGTCTGCTATGGTTAAAATGCTATCAAACAGCCTGGCATGCTACAGAGAAATCTTTTTGTAGAAGGAAGAGTCAATTGATGCAACTGACCTCATGGTTAAAATTTCATTTTAAGAAATTGCTGGCTGGGCGCAGGTGGCTCTTGTAATCCCTGTGTTTTGGGAGGCTGAGGCAGGCAGATCACTTGAGGTCAGGAGTTGGAGACCAGCCTGCCCAACATGGTGAAACTCTGTCTCTATTAAAAATGCAAGAAAAATTAGCTGGGCGTGGTGATAGGCGCCTATAATCCCAGCTACTTGGGAGGCTGAGGCATGAGAATTGCTTGAATCCAGGAGGCGGGTGTTGCAGTGAGCCAAGATCACTTCAGTGTACTGCAGCCTGAGTGACAGAGTGAGACTCAGTCTAAAAAGAAATTGCCACAGCCTCCCCGACCACCCACCCTGATCAGTCAGCAGCTATCAACATCAAGGCAGCACCTTTCACCAGCAAAAAGATTACAACTTGCTGAAGGCTCAGATAATCATTAACACTTTTTAGCAATAAAGTATTTTTAAATTACGTACATTTTAAAAAACATAATGCTAAAAATGAAAAAAAAAATAATGCTATTGCCCACTTAATAGACTACTATATAATATAAATAACTTTTATATGCACTGGGAAACCAGAAAATTTATATGACTCACTTTATTTTACAATTTGCTTTATTCTGGTGATCTGGAACCAAATCTGCAATATCTACAAGGTATACCTGCACCCAGATATTACAGTAATCATGGCACTTTTCCTCGGAAAAGGTTTCCTTGGCAAAGGTTTGCTTCTGGAAGTAGACATGAGAAGGGTTGCCTGTTGTGAGTTATTGTGAAGTGGTGAGATGGTTGTTGGAAATCTGAGGGAAAACGATCACCAGATGTGAGTGTGTGTGGCTCATGACACGTAGTAAACTGAGATAGCTGGGAGATGGGTATTTTTAAAAACAGTATCGAGATATAATTCACATACCCTATACATCACCTATTTAAAATATATAATTCAGTGGTTTTTTTATAACCACTAATCTACTTACTATTTCTATAGATTTGCCTATCCTGGAAATATAAATGGGGTCTTGTAATATGTGATTTTTTGCGACTGTCTTCTTTTACTTAGCGTAATGTTTTCAAGGTTCACCTCTGTTGTAGCATGCTTCAGTATTTCGTTCTTTTTTGTGGCTGAATAATATTCCATTGTATGGATATATACCAAATTTTGTTTACCCATTTATCAGTTGATGGACATCTGGGTTCTTTCCCCATTTTGGCTGTTGTGAGTAAGCTGCATCAAACATCTCTGTACAGGTTTTCGTATGGACATACATGTTTATTTCTCTTGAGTATGCCTAATAGAGTGGGATTCCTGGGTCACACGGTAGTGTTAAGGGTTTGAGAAGCAAGCACCAGTTTTTAAACTCTATAAAGCGCAGTTTGGTAGCATCTGTAAAAATTACAAATATACTTCTTTGACCCAGCAATTCTACTTCTTGGATTTTATCCAGTAGATATTATACTTGCACACTAACAAATTGTTGAATATATAAGATCACTTATTTCAACATTGAAAACAACCTGCATATCCTTTAGTAAGGGATAGGGTTAGGATGAATTTAACCCACCCTGTGAAGGACTATGCATTT